TCATTAGTTGAGCCTGCTCCCAAGGAGTGTTCATTCCCTAGAACAGTGTTTCCCAAAGTGTGGTATGCGTACCCCCAGGGGTACGGGAAGAGTTTGGTGGGGGTACGCGTTGCACCAGAGTTTGGTAGGGATATACACTGCACCGTGCTTAGCTGCACCTAATTATACATTCTCATGAGTACGAGGAGTACTCAGCGTTATGAAAATTATAGAAGGGGTACACATATGTCAAAAGTTTGGGAAACACTGCCCTAGAGCAATCTGGCTGCAGTCTCCTAGGCTTTAGAGAAACCTTGGTAAAGGGACATGAATACTGTCAGTTGGAGATCCAGTGGACTATACAGAGCAGTAAGGCCTGAGAGATTTGAGCATCAAGGAGTGACATATGGTATACTTTCTATTCCTGTTAAAACAGTAATCTACCTGGCACCATTCCTTTATCTTTGTTCCTTCTGTTCCCTCTTTTACCCACATCTGTACCTGAACTGGCTCAGTACCTCATATCTATCTTGTCTTGCCTCTTTTGTGAATCACCAGGCACCTATTTTCTCTAGTGATTTCTGCTTCATGGCATGTGCCTACAAGACAATTTTCTACTTGATTTAAGCTCCTTGGGAACCCAAGTATTACCTTTTATATTTTTGTAAGCACCAAAGTGCATGGTACATAAATGCTTGGTTGGTTAGAACGAATCGTTCCTCCCAACTGATAGGTGGTTTTGCTATGAGAGGAAAGCCCTTGAGCTTCTGAATTTTAACTTTCTAACTTTAACTAGTGTAGTGCCATAAACTTCAAGGAGCTACTGGATGGACCCTGAAGTCAGAGCAATGAGGAATTTTTTTTTTTAAGTATTCAGTTTTGTAGTATTAAGTACATTTACATTGTTGGATGACGATCACTACTGTCCATCTCCAGATGTTTTCATCTTGCAAAGCTAAAACTCTGTACCCATAAACACCAACTCCCCTCCCGCCTCCACCATTCTACTTTCTGCCTCTATGAATTTGACTGACTGCTCTAGGAACCTCATAAGTGGACTCATACAGTATTTGTCTTTTTATGACTTTTATTCACTTAGCATAAGGTTTAAGGTTCATGTTGTAGCTTGTGGCAGAATATCCTTCCCTTTTAAGGCTGAAAAATATTCCATTTTATGTATAGACCACATTTTGTTTATCCATTCATCTGTTGGGCACTTGGGTTGCTTCTACCTTTTGGCTATTGTGCATAATGCTACTATGAACATAGGAGTAAAACTATCTTTGAGAAATACTGCATTCAATTCTTTCAGATATATACCCAGAAGTGGAATTTTTTTTTAATTTAATATTTTTTTATTGATTTTTTACAGAGAGGAAGAGAGAGGGACAGAGAGCTAGAAACATCGATGAGAGAGAAACATCGATCAGCTGCCTCTTGCACACACCCCACTGGGGATGTGCCCGCAACCAAGGTACATGCCCTTGACCGGAATCGAACCTGGGACCTTTCAGTCCGCAGGCCGATGCTCTATCCACTGAGCCAAACCAGCCTCGGCCAGAAGTGGAATTAATGGATCTATGGTAATTTTATTTTTAATTATTTGAAGAACTGTTTGTTTGTTTTTAGTAGTAGTCATCCTAATGACCGTGAGTTGATACCTCATTGTGTTTTTTGTTTTTTGTTTTTTTTAAATATATATTTTATTGATTTTGTACAGAGAGGAAGGGAGAGAGATAGAAAGCTAGAAACATCGATGAGAGAGAGTCATCAATCAGCTGCCTCTTGCACACCCCCTACTGGGGATATGCCCGCAACCAAGGTACATGCCCTTGACCGGAATCGAACCCGGGTCCCGTCAGTCCCCAAGCCGACGCTCTATCCATTGAGCCAAACCGGTCTCGGCCTCATTGTGTTTTTAATATGCATTTCCCTAATGATTGGTGACATCGAGCATGTTTTATGTGCTTATTGGCCATTTGTAAATGGCATTTATATATTTCTTTTTTGGAGAAATGTCTATTCAAGTCAAGTGGTTTGGTTTTTTTGTTGTTGTTAAGGAAACTTTAATTGAAGTATAACAAGGTTGGTCTTTGAGTTTTCTTGCCTTGAACATATTTATGTAGTGATTTGTCAAGTTACCATGGACTAGCAGCTTAGGAACTTTCAGCTCTGATCTGTCTCCTGTCATTCTTTCGCAGAATAATCAAAGAATCTTAAAATTAAATTGAGCCTCAGAGAGTGTTTTAGTCTGTTCTGGCTACTATTAACAAAATACCACAGACTGGGTGGATTACAAACAATAGTAATTTCTTTCTCACAGTTCTGGAGGCTGAAAGTCCAGGATCAGGATGCCAGCCTGGTTGGGTTCTGGTGAAGGTCCTCTCCCAGGTTGCAGACTGCTGACTTCTCTCAGTATCCTCACATGGTGGAAGGGGCTAGGGAAACTATGTCGGGTCTCCTTTATAAGAGCGCTAATCCCATTCATAGGGCTCTACCCTCATGACCTACTCACATATCAAAGGTCTCACCTGATACCATTATATTGCATATTAAGATTTCATCATGTGAATTTGGAGGGGATACATTCAGACCATAGCAGAAAGTGACTATACAAGTGACTATACAACTGAACCCATTATGTCTTTTCCCACTATGTCTTGGACCCTGTGGATAGCATTTTCGTCATCTTTAAACATGCCTTTCTTTGTCTCCTTTCTCATGTTCCTACAAATATTATGAAAACTGGTAAGTTGATTTTTCAAGTATTGAGTAAAGTATTTGCACTAGGCATGAAGTTGATATATATTGGACTTAGACTTTTTTTAATTGTTCGGTGTTATTTTTAAGAAATTTTCTTTATAAAACTATAGGCCTTTTTTCCCCCTAGGGAAATAAGGAGATGGGGCCAAGAGGCAGTTAGTAATGCTGACCTCAACTTAAAGTAGAACACTTTTGTAAATCTTTGGAAATAAATAAGCTCTCAGAATTGCTCATTGGTTGCTGTTAGACAGTGCTTTTCTGAGTCCTAATTAGGATACATCTATATTATTCCACAGTAGGCCCACCATTTTTGAGATTAAACTGTTTGAAACTCACATAAAAGGGGATTGCATATGCCCCTGGCACTAATTTGTGGCTGAGTTGGCAATGACTTCCTGCTCAAAGATATCTGTCTACAGCAGGGAGGTTCAGGATGCTTGGCCTTGCATAAATGTTCCTAAATTATTTTCTACCCTTAAACATTTTTTAAATTGTGGTAAAATATACATAACATAAAACAAAACTTACCATTATAACCATTTGAAGTGTACATATGTGTAAATGCACGTAATGCCACAGAACTGTACACTATCCATCTCAGAATTTTTTCTTCTTTCCAAACTTAAAGTCCATACCATTAAACATAGCTTTCCATTCCTCCCATGGCAACTACCATTCTGTCTGTCTCTGAACTTAGCTAGGTACCTCATATAAGTTAAATCATACAATATTTGCTTTCCTGTGTGGCTTCTTTCCTTTAGTATGTCTTCAAGATTCACCCATGTTGTAGTATGTGTCAGAATTTCCCTCCTTTTTTTGAGATTGAATAATACCATTGTATGTATATATCACATTTTGTTTATTCATTTGTTGATTGACATTTGTGTTGTTTCCACTTTTTGGCTTTTGTAAACATTCTTCTATGAACATTGGTATACAGATATCTCAAGTCTCTGCTTTCATTTATTTATACACACACACACACACACACACACACACACACACACACACACATACACTAGAGGCTCGGTACATGAAATTAGTGCACAAGGGTGGGATGTATGTGTCCCTCAGCCCAGCCTGCACCCTCTCCAATCTGATCCCTCTCACAGTCCAGGACTGCTGGCTCCCAACTGCTCGCCTGCTTGCCTGCCTGATTGCCCTTAACCGCTTTTGCCTGCCAGCCTAATCACCCCTTAATCACTCTCCTGCCAGCCTGATTGATGCCTAACTGCTCCCCTGCTGACTTGATTGACTCTAACTGCTGTCCACTGCTGGCCTAGTCGACCCCAACTGACGTCCCCTGCCGACCTGGTCACCCCTAACTGCCCTCCCCTGCTTGCCTGGTCACCCCTAACTGCCCTCCCTTGCCAGCCTGGTAGCCCCTAATTGCCCTTCCCTGCTAGGCTGGTTACCACCAACTGCCCTCCCCTGCAGGCCTGGTCACCCCCAACTGCCCTCCTCTGCCATTCTGGTTGCTCTTAACTGCCTTCCCCTGCTGGTCTGATCACCCGCAACTGCCCTCCCCTGCTGGCCACCTTGTGGCAGCCATCTTGTGTGTTGGAGTGACAGTCAATTTGCATATTGCCCTTTTATTAGATAGGACACACACACACCTAGGAGTGAAATTGCTGGGTCATACGATAGTTATATGTTTATCTTTTTGAGGAACTGCCATACTATGTTCCACAGTAGGTGCACCATTATATGTTTCCAGCAGTGCATAAGAGTTCCAATTTCTCTACATCCTTGCCAACACTTTTCTGTTGTTTGTTTTTTGGTAATAGCCATTCTAATGGGTGTGAAGTGGTATCTCACTGTGATATTGATATTTATTTCCCTAATGATTAGTGATGTTGACCATCTTTTCAGGTGTTTATTTTTCATTGTAGAAATGTCTGGTCAAGACCATTGCCCATTTTGAATCAGGTTGGTTGGTTGTTGCTGAGTTTTAGCCAAGGAACCTTTTGATTTGCAAATACTTTTAAGAGGGTGTTTGCTGTGTAGCACCTTTTGAATATATCTTCACTTGTCTTGTTTATTTTCAAAGAATCTTTCGGTATTTAAGAAGATAAATATAGAAATATATACTAGAGGCCCAATGCACAAATTTTGTGCAAAGGGCTTGGCCTCCGCCCACTGCTGCTTCACCTGGAAGGACGTTAGGCCTAATTAGCATATTATGCTTTTATTATTACAGATTATCAATCAATTGATATATATATATATATATATAAATACTTTTTTTGTCCCAACAGTATATCCTTTCAGGATCTGATGACTTCAACCTGTACATGTGGAGAATTCCTGCAGATCCAGAAGCAGGTGAGTATGTCCCTAGTATAAATCTGCTGCTGAAGTTGGCTCTACCGACTTTTGGCATGCTGTGCCCTGAAAGGACAGATCTGTAGCTTTAGAGGAAGGTATTTCTCTTTTAACATAATAAGTTTATTAGGCCGAAACCAGTTTGGCTCAGTGGATAGAGCATCGGTCTGCGGACTGAAAGGTCCCAGATTCGATTCCAGTCAAGGGCATGTCCATTGGTTGCAGGCACATCCCCAGTAGGGGGTGTGCAGGAGGCAGCTGGTCGATGTTTCTCTCTCATCGATGTTTCTAGTTCTCTATCCCTTTCCCTTCCTCTCTGTGGAAAATCAATTATATACATATATATATATATTTTTAGGTTTATTAGAAAAGTGACCATAGGAAATTATAAAATAAAAATTAGAAGCCAGGCTCAACTATAACCTTCATATATATCTGACATAATGATGCTCAAATCTTTTTCCTTCTAAGAACTTAGACTTCATAAACCTTTTTTATGTCCATTTGTCTCTTTCCTATTTCACAAAGCAAGATAGAATATTTTTATCTTGTTTTAATACATGCTTTCCCTTTATTATCCATCTGCATGTTCATGCTTATTACTCTACAAATAGTTGTTAAGGCCTCTTTGTTTTTGGCCTCCCTAGTAATTTCAACTAAAGTGAAATTTTCTTTATTGACTGACAAGTGCATTCCCTGGGGTTTGGCTGATGCCAGACATCAAAGAAATTAGGAGGAATATTTCTGCATTAGTTGTAGATGTATTCTGAAAACAAACAAACAAACTGCAGCTTTCCATAAATTGGGATCTAGGCCAGCTAAGATTTCAAATAGATGAATTATTCTTCATTCTTGATAATAGTGATCTTACATGCTCAATTACTTATTACACTGATTGCTTCCTACTGGTAGAAAATGTATATATATTTTTTATTCTCAGGAAAGCTTAATGTAGCCATCTGTTCCGGGTTATACATGGCATCAAACTGGAAAATGGCCATTAGGAAAATTATAGAGGATTATGCCCAGTATATATTGCACAGGTGTATCTAGTGCTCAGTTTAGGGAAGTTATTGGCTTAACGAATATTTGCCTTTCAAAACTTGTTGAGGACCCCTTTGGTATAACTCTTGTTGCTGTAGTCTAGTTACTGAACACATTGCAAAAGGCCTTTTTCCCCTTCTGGAATTTGGAAAGCATGAGTAAAGCAGCTTACCTTTGAAACACAACCAGAAGGGACAGTGTCATTTATCTGAACCAAAAGCAATGTTCCTGGCCCCCTATGTTCTAAATTGATTAATTGATGAATACACTTTAGGCTTAATTTTATCATTTATTAGATCTTGAAAAACTTTTAATTATTAAGTCAATATGTCAAAATAGAAAGTGGATAATCCTGTTTCTCCAGGATGTTCTCTGGTATCTTTTTCATGTTTGTATAAACAGAGAAAGGGGAAAGAATTAGCAATAGTCTATATTATAAAAGGCCTGTGGCCTTAATTTTGTAATTACCAAAGACCTAAAAATCAGTGCGGGTGGGTGGGGCCACGCGATTTCACTGGTGCTGGGCTTCTAGTATTGCAATATTTTCCTCCCCCTGTTGATTTCTCTTCTAACTTAGGATATGGCCCACTGTTGGGCAAACTCTGTGAGTAGATGTTTAGGATTTCAGTGTTAAAACTGGAATGGTACCTGTACTTTCCAAGGATTGTATAGGAACAGCTGGTTTAAAGGAATCTATTAAAAGCATGTTTGTTTTGATCACTTGTGTTCCAGTAATAATTGTAATGGTAACTCAAATCCAAGACAAAAATTTTAACACTTAGAACCTTATAGTCACAGTAAATAAAGAAAAATTTTAATTTGTTGGTGAAACTATAATAGAGTTCTAATAAAAACAAATTAGGTTGAAATTTTAGGGGATAAAGTGTAAATGTTATTTAAAGGAAGAAAAAGGAATGATGAAATATTTTTATTTTAAAAAGTACATGTTAGACTCAGATTCCACATGCCCACGACTTTCTGGTGCACAGATAGGATAACACTCCAACCAGTTGAGCTACACTAATCAAGGCACCATAATAGTCTTATGGTTCTTTTATATTCAGTGTCCAGTATACAGTAAAAAAATTATGAGGCAAGAAAATGTGGCTCATAATCATGAGAGGGAAAAAATCAGTATAAGCCAACCCACAATTTTATGCAGATATTTAACTGATAGTGATGTCAAATATTATAGATATGATAAAGAAAATGAAGAAAAGATGGGCAAAATGGATGAAAATATGGAGAATTTCAACAAAATTGGAATCTATTTAGGAAAATAATCTTCTAGATATTCTAAAGTTGAAATGTCTAAAATTAAGAATTTATTGGATGGGTTTAACTTTCAGAGGGCAGATTTGGTGAATAGAAGACAGATTAATAAAAGATAACCTCCCTCACCCCCCAAAAAGATAACCAAACCATAGGACAATGAGAAAAGAGAATGTAAAGAGCAGGACAGAGAGCACAAGAAACAAGTGGAACACAGATGATGTGATATATATGAAGTTGATGTTCCAGAAGAATAAGAGATAAAATGAGTAGAAACAATATATGAAGATATAATAGCTAAATGAATTTTCCAAAACAAATATACCAATTCTTAGCTTCAAGAAACTCAGTAATGACAAATGTGATAAACACACCTAGGCACATCATAAGCCCAACTATTGAAAGCAAAAGATAATGAGAAGCCCAAAAACAGCCTGAGAAAATATCTAAATCAGATATCAGAGAGAGAGAGAGAGAGAGAGAGAGAGAGAGAGAGAGAGAGAGAGAGAGAGAAATATGCTAGTAACTGGGACGCCATAATGGATCGACTGGACAGGAGGAGGTTGCACGCACAGCAGGGGTGGGGGTGGGGTGGGGTGGGGGGGACACTCCGTGCGTTTGCACTGGAGGAGGGCCTCATCAGCAGTGACTGCACTGCTTCAAGGGCCTGAGAGGCAGGCCGGGTAGGACCAGCGACTCAAGGGTGGGAAGTGCTGCGCAATTTCAAATATTGTGCTGGTCTCCTAGTAAATAAATAAAGTGCTTAAGGAATTAAAGCCAGCTGACCAGAATTCTATATCTAAGGAAAATAATCCTTCAAAAATGTAGGTAAAACAGACATTTTAAAAAATTATAGAATTTTAATATAATGACTTAGCAGTCCTTAATGAATTAATACATCTAAATATCGAACATCAACAACTAACATTACAAAAGGAAAGGCAATTAGACATAAAACCACCCAAATCTGAACAGACCTCGGGATCCACCTTTTGATTTGCAGGAAGTATAGAGGTCAGAGGAGTGTATTGTATTGTATTGTGAGGATACAACCCACAAAATCCAAACTGTCAGAAATTCTCAGACCCATGTTCTTCAGCAAATACATTCTAATGGGAAAAGAAGGATGGATAGGAAGAAACCTATTGTTAAGAAACATAAGAGACCTAAAAACAAATACACCACAGGCAAAACTAAAGTATTTAGGAGCCAAAACCGGTTTGGTTCAGTGGATAAAGCGTCAGTCTGTGGACTGAAAGGTCCTAGGTTCGATTCCGGTCAAGGGCATGTACATTGGTTGTGGGCACATCCCCGGTAGGGGGTGTGCAGTAGGCAGCTGGTCGATGTTTCTCTCTCTCATCAATGTTTCTAGGTCTCTATCCCTCTCCCTTCCTCTCTATAAAAAATCAATAAAATATATTTTAAAAAAACAAATAAATAAAGTATTTAGGAATGCACACCTGGGTAAATAAAATTATTTTTAAATGCAGAGAAGTGATTAATATAGAAGTCAGGATAATGGTTACTTTATTATCCATTAAATAATAATGGGGGAACAAAAGGGTTGTAATTGCAATGAGGCATGTAGGGGGCCTCTGAATGAATGGCCAGAAAAATTCCATTTCTTGACCTGGGTGTTGGTTATAAGGGTATTCACCTTATGAAACTTCATTAAGCTATACTTTTTATATTTGATTCCATCTCTTTTTAAAAAAAAATCCTTAATGAAAAAAAAATAAGAAAAATAAGTAAATAGCCATGGTCTAAGAATAAATCACAATAGGAATAAATTTTCTTAATAAAAATAAAAACATAAAAAGTGCTCAAGTGTTGATTGTGTGGGTATTTAGCCCAGATCAGGGATCTACAAAATTTTCTGTTTACATACCCACCCCCACAATGATTTTTTTTTTTTTTAGTTATATGTTACATATAAAGAGTATATATTGAAGTACACTTTTATTGAGGCATAACTTAAACCTCTGTTAAGATGCCCACTATGATAGGGTGCTTGTTGCCCCAAGGTAACTCCAGTGAAGAGAAAGTTTTCTGGAAGCCTTACTCTGCATCCCTCTGCAATCTTTAAATGTGGCTTACTGAGAAGGGCCTTATTATCATCCTTCCTCCTCAGAGCCTTTTACTCATGTGAAGGTGGCTCTCATGTCCTCTTCTCTATCTCCTCCAGAGATAGTACCCCAAGTTTATTTAGCAACACCTCAACGAAATGATACCGATTTCTTGGATGTACTCATTTCTTTCCTCTAAATTTGTTCTACCTTTGTTTAAGGATTAACAGAATTAATGAATAAGTTCAACAGATGTAGTCTGACTAGAACAGAAAAACTTGGGCTCCTTGCTACATGGTGTTTCAGAAAGTACACACCATCACAAAAGCTGTTCTTGGAAGTCACAGAACTAATATCCACTCAGACTTGCTTAGAGTTGGCTGGAAACCCCATAGTTTCCTTATGGGCTGTGTTGTTGGTCCTGGATCATATATTTTATTTGGTGCTTGGGTTTCGTTGTACAAAAGAACAGTGCCGTGTAATTATTTCTCTTGTTAGATTCACTAACTGGTGGTTGAGGTGTTTGTTTTTTCTATACTTCGACTTTGCATCGTCAGTCTGTCACAGTGAGGCTGCCTCTTTGATCATCATCTTGCTTTGCAAGTAATGAAAATACTT